ACCATTTTTATTAATTATGAAATGTGGATTAAATTCTTCAAAACTAGTTTTGAAGCATTGAGACAACACCCCCTTATGATTTAAACTAAAACTGAAAACATTCCATTAGACTTTCATTAGTTTGTGCAAAATATATTACCCAGGGTAACGCGTCTTGGATTTGGTGGGTATAGCTGTTCAACTCTCCTGTGTGCCCTAAAAAGGGCAGCTGCTGTTTCCCTTTTTATGAAATGATAAACTGTGATGGTGTAGCTATCACATAGCAAAATTACAGCTTCCTAGAAAAAGTTTGAAATTTTAGGTCAAATTCAACATTTTGTAACCACTAGCAAAGAATGACAGCTGTATAATACCATATTTCATATCAAAACCCACCTCTCAATCTTCAGCTCCTTGTTAGACGTCTGCTGCATGGTCACAGATATTTTCTTCTCTAGGTTAACTCTCAGCTTGAAGGCATTTTTATCCTTGGGACAGGCGGAGAAGTTCCCCTTCCCATCTTCTTCCTTCACCTCCATGAAGACGTCAAAGTGGAAGTTGCTGTCCTCAGTGATACTGGAGAGCGATCCTGCGCTGAATGAATGGCGTGGGATCTTCCTGAATGAGGTGGCAAAGCAATACAGGATCTTGCCCACCTGAGAAACAGAGATGAGAGGTTTTTACACTTTTTCCAGAAAGTAATTTTGTTTCTTACACAAAAAGTAAACCTTTCACAACAAAACACAACTTTGTCAAAATGTATTTTGCAGAATGCCTAATCATTCTTTAAGTTTCATATAAATGATATTGCATAATAAATGAAAGTTCTCTTAACTAAGATTAAAAAACAGCATTTTAAACATATGGCTTATATATGGCAATGGAAAATATAATGCGACCATCAACTTCTCTTGACTATGCTTTCAAGCTGTTCAGGAAGCACTTCTTCCACTTATACTACTCACAGCATCTTGTATTTCACATCTAAACACATGGCATTGGAACAGCACAGCGTCAGCAGAGTCTCCGTGACTGCAGGTGAAGGCAAAGCACTTGCGTTCATTTGTCTCCACGGCACCGCGTGCACAGAACAGAATGCGATGTACTTTGAATGTGGCAATCTCGCTGTTAGTGCTTGGCTCTAATAATCTGCAAATTACAAAATTTTTTTTTCATCCCCCACTTGTGACTAACAAGATATATGTAATACATCCCAGTTTTTAACATTTAACATATCTTGATCTCATCAGACATACAGATACTTATGGACAAATAATGAATTTCCAGCCTAAGTTTAAACAAAATACTTGCCATACACAAAGATTAATATGGGTGCAGTATCTGAAAAATATTAGTATATATTGCTCTAAATAATATAAGAAAATTTTGCTCCAGAAACTACAGTCTGGGCACTCAATGCCACCCCAGTCCCAGTACTAACCTGACCAACCCTTCAGAGTTACTGGGCACTCAATGCCACCCCAGTCCCAGTACTCACCTGACCAACCCTTCAGAGTTACTGGGCACTGAATGCCACCCCAGTCCCAGTACTAACCTGACCAACCCTTCAGAGTTACTGGGCACAGCCAAAGTGATCGGGATAGACAGTTGTGAATGCTCATTCAGGATCTCCATATTACGATTGATTTCTGCCTCACTCCTTGGTGCGTTAATGGACGCAGACCCCAGGTACGTGACATTGCTGAAGAAAGTGTACTGGCCCTCTGGGAGATCTGGGGTGTTAGGAAGAGAGGCGGAACGGAGACGCCCTGAAATACATACCAATGCATAAAATATAGAAAAGGGCATCCAATTGCACTGATTGCATGAAAATAAAATCATGCTATTATCTTAATGGATTCTGATCTGTTATACCCAATCAAGTGAACTTAATACCACAAAGTAAAAAACTACTACAATCAATTTCTACCATTTATATACTTTTTTAATCATGTGATATCAATTCATTATACTAAGTGCCAAGTCAGGCAAAATATCATGTTATTCAATACAACTGAATGCATTTCAGTCAATGCAATCAGCACAGGCATGGTTTCAGAACTGACTCAAAGCACAACTGTGCTTGAATATGAATAATTCAACAATAAACAGTGGTCTACACATTCCACAAAATCTACTCAACAGGCCAATGAATATATATTATTTAGAAAACACATCATTAAAAATACATCTGAAAAAAAAAAAAACATGACTGGGAGGTTTTTCATCATTAATTAATTCATGCAGATCTGTTATTGGACGATATAAGAGTAATTGGAGGTAGTGGGATGTTGATTGGTGCACAGTGTTCATAGGGAAAAAAACATAACTTCATGAAAGTATAAAATAAAAGGCATACAGGTAGTGCAGGTATATATGAACATCATTTGTTACTCATATCGGGGATAAAAGGGCAACTCTTCATTTTTTTTTTTTTACATTTCCCTTCAGCACCATGGCCTCAGTCATACAGCCCATGTATCATTCAATAACATGCACCCCCCCCCCCAAACAAAGAAAATTAAATTTCAAAAAGAAAAAAAAAAAACATTTTCATTTTACACCCAGACAAAAGGAAGCAAGAAAACAGCCTACAATATAACAGTTCCATGCTTCACTAATCCTCTTGCACAGCATGCTGTAGCAAGAGCCCTCTTTAGATCTAATAATGCCCCAAATATAAACATCAGTAAATTATGGTTAGAAACTGCAGTTCAGCAAATTTTCCTCCCAAAATCAATAGTCCAGAGAGACGGGCAGTCCTACACCATACTGTTCAAAGTAAAAAGGCCATAAAACCTCTCTCTTTCGCCAATACACCAGTGCTCTTTAGAGAAAAGCTACCAGTATACGGGGCATTCTCTGTCGCATGGTATTCATTTTGCAGGACAAATGGAATTTCGACTCTTTAAAGTGGCATTTTACAAAAACTATAGTACATTACATAGTTCACATGGCAGGAACATTGGATAATGCAACCCTTCCTGCATCTTTCAATGCAAATTACAAATAGANGAAAAGCTACCAGTATACGGGGCATTCTCTGTCGCATGGTATTCATTTTGCAGGACAAATGGAATTTCGACTCTTTAAAAGTGGCATTTTATGAAAACTATAGTACATTACATAGTTCACAATTGGCAGGAACATAGAATAATGCAAGCCTACCTGCATCTTTCAATGCAAATTGCAAATAGACAGTCACACAAGTTTATCCAACTGTTTACTTTCATGCATGATACATAAATGACATAAATAAACACTTCTATATATCATGTACTGTAAAGTGTATAATTATATCATTTATTAATATACACTTTATTTATCAGATGCATTAAATGGTAGCTTACACCAAGTCATCATGGCTGTTCTTTCTGATTATTCATTATATGGATGTGTTTAAATTATATCATTTATTAATATACACTTTATTTATCAGATGCATTAAATGGTAGCTTACACCAAGTCATCATGGCTGTTCTTTCTGATTATTCATTATATGGATGTGTTAACTTTGAAGTGGGACTTTTTATGAACTTGCTTACAAATCACATAACTGTTATTTAAACTCATAAACATTTGCTTGCATTTATAAACCAAAAGACATCATAATAAAATGATTCCAAGAAGTAAAATCCAAAAATTGAAAATGAAATCTTCATTGCATTCTTAAAATACCCAGAGTATATTATTTCTGTATCACCAAACAAACTATGCTTCCAACAGTGAGATAGTAGCTTGCCCATATCTGGTTAGAAACAGGTCCTGAAATCTACAGTTTTCTATTTCTCAATTAATTCTCTTGTGAGCACAATAATCAAAACTTAGAAAGGAGGAAGTAAGCATGTGCATTTGTGTTGCCCCTTTCTCAGAAATATGTTTTTGAAAATGAAACTAAACATTTGTGCTAGGAGAAAATAAAATGTTCCCTTACCAAGAAAAGTTTGCCCAAAGGAACAGAGAGACCATATAAAACAAAAAAATCTTTATCATACATAGCTTTGAATTTCACATATCTAGACTTGTAAATAATGCACAGCCTGTGACAGGCACATAGAAAAACAATAATTGCTGCACACAGTGGCATTTCCCAGCACAAAATAAAGCAACAACTTTTCATGCTGCCTGACATGCATCAATAAATGAAAGCAGTAGGCGGGATATTGGATTTTTTATCGGGAGGGAAGATGGGGTGCAGTACGTAATATTTCTTTGAAATCTTAAAATAAATGATGACCTTGAATACAAATTTGAAACATCAAAATTTGCTCCATCAAATACAAAGACACATAATTTGTATCAGAGATCCAGTGATACATGAAGATACAATTTCTGATCCTTTCATTTCCCCCCAATTCCATTAACCAGGGATGGAAGTCATCGATCTGTCTGCTCCTTTTTCTGGTTCATCAGATAAAGCCGATATGCAGTGTGAATCCTTCAGCGAACACCAACTATTCCATCAACTTTACAAAAGTAACCTAATGTTTAGACCTCCAGTGTAATAAATGGTAAATATTCCATGGCATTTCCCAGTTAAACTGTAAGGCAAACACATCCTTGTAGAGCCTCACTGTTCAAGAAACCACAGCACAGTCAAACAAAAGCACAATTAAGACCTCTTGTGAGTTTCTACTTGTTAGAGAGAAAGCATGTCATCAATCTGACCCTGTTATCACTCAAAATTGTTTTGTTTCTTCACATTGGACGTAGCTGACCACCCCCATCCCCTCTCAACATCCCCACCCACCAACGTTTATGGAGCAGCAAATATTTCCCAGATTGGCCTTATTACTTGTAGTTCAGCAGACAGCTGATCTTTTCTCAATACCAGAGCAGTAATAACCTGTCAGCAATGAATAATTCCAATCACTCTATAATAAGAGGATGCTTCTTACTAATAGGGTTACTTTATGCTCACGAGGAAAATGTCTGGTAATGAATTGCCAACATGGATATATTTACTGCCATGGTAATGAATAAGGCATACTGCTATAATATGCTACTTGTATTAAATAAAAATTCCTGGAATCCCGCACTGAAGAGTGGTAAAGACTGATGTTATATTGTGATAAAAAACATACAGTTAACAAAGAGGGTTAAAATAACAGTTACTGGCAATAGCAGTTGGGTTTGAAAATGGAAGCTTGATTTATCACATTGTTCCTGAATGATGTAAGGGTGGTGATGATACTCAATCAAGAACATGCCAAGATTTCTGACACAGGAGCAGTTAATTATACACAAATACAAAATACTGAACACTTGCACCTCAGAGCCCAATACACCTGTAATGTCTATTGTGTTTTACATATCTGAATTCATCTTTTCTTATTTTTTAACATGTTATTTTTGCTATTTACATTACAGTAAATAATAACAAGTTGTAATCCTCTGAAAAAAAAAATGAAAAATGAACAGACTTCCTTCTGTTGAGTTATGATTTTACTCTTAAAGTTCAGAATACAACAAATGTTTTCTCCTAAAAATCAAAAATTTGATGTGCATGCTCATGACAGCATATAGATAGACTTGAAAAAGAGACTACAAAGTGAGATTAAGCTAAATCTTTTACCAAATTTTACTAAATTTTTGGTGAGCATTTTAAATTTGTTTAATTAAAACATTTTTGTACAGTATATCTTGTTCAAGTAAGATTTGATTAATACTGTAAATCCAATATACCACAATGGAAATCACTAGAGTAATGAGCCCAGAGGTTCAAAAATAGAAAGGAGCAAAAAAAAAGAACAATTTCCATACAAGATTCCTCACAGCCAGCAGTATTCATAACTCCGGTCTGAGACTTGGTAATCAGTTCACCTGAAAATAATACACACAAAAATACTTCTCTTCAAAATTCAGCTATTGACAAATATTTATCACTAAAAACATTTACCATCTGTAGTCTTTTTCTTTTTTTCAAAATTATTTGGAATAATATATTCCTTTAAAGTTTGATATACCGCTTTAACTCAAAGATGGCTCTTCATCTAGTTTTGTCAAATGGCTGCATATAATTTGACCTCTCCTGGTTGACTTACATTTATAATCATCTGGAATAAAATAAAACTGATCACAGTTCACATTTCCTACCATCTGTCTGGATTCATCTTCTGCCTCAAAACCTCACTGTTATTGCCTTAAACCTATACACAGATCTGACTCTCAGTAAGAGCAGTCAATATATCTGGTTGGTATTTACTTCTTGCTTTGGTAGTCCACGCCCACTCGCTCTCCCTGGAGGGAGCGATGTAGGCAGGTAGACATGTCCTTAATGTCCAACTTGTCAAATAGTTGACATCAAGATATCAAGGACTGTGCTTCAAGTGGCACAGAACTTCTTTGTGCTGGCTTGGTGGTGCATTATGCAATGTCTAATGAATCAGGATGCATTCTACTACTAATCAATAGGGGGATATGATGTGCTTCCTTTTATGCCTTTGAAGTCTGTCTATTTGCATTGTATTGATAAACTTAGAAACAGAGAGTGGAGGGGGCAAGGATACTACTGGAACATCAACTGTAAAATTCATAAGTGTTGAGAAGTACAAACCCATTGTGAAAAACAGTTCTAAATTGATTTATAGTAAAAATGTAAATTAAGTATTTGATAAGAAAGTGTGGCTGACATAACCTTCACTTACAAGGATCGCCAAAATTTGAAGCCTCTGAGTCCCTCATGTTTGTTGCTCCTCTTGGTCTATTTACTGCACAGCTGAAGAATGTGCTGTCACCTATTGTTTTCCTTTCTTCTGTAGTTGGAATATTTCGAGGGATATCAACCTCTCCAACAGAGGGCAGCTCTGTGCCCTTGTCATCTGCTTCAACTTTCGACATTTCAATTTCTCCTTCACCCCGTGTGCTATCTGGAGATTCATCTGTAATGGTATCTCCACTGGTGGTGAGATCGTCATTTTTAATTCCTTCTTTTTCCTTTGATCCACTCATATTGTCATCCTTTAATACCTCACTAAGTTTTTCTTCCAAATCGTCTATGCAACCGTTCCCAGGTATTTTTAGCTTGGGATCAGCATTAACAACCACATACTCCTCTCCAGTAGCCGAGTCCAGTGAGCCTTGACTGACAGTGTCTTCCATGGTGGACTGCAAGCTAATTGTTGGCCGTCATGGTAAAATCCTGAAACAAAAATATAATTTTACATTTAACAGCAAATCCTTTTCCACATAATAAATTAGTGAGAGAGCAGACACAGTGTAGCACCATTTGCCCTCTCCTATTACTCTTATTAGTGGCTTTGAACTTCTTCAAAGAACAAGTACTTAATGAGATGAGATGAGAATTGCTGAAGATACCCCATGTACGCATGCTCCAAAACCTCTTTTATTTTCCGATTTTCAAAAATGAGCACACTGGTTTAATTTTTTTAATACTACAAACCAACATGGTATAAAATTACTATGTTTGCAATGTCGTTTGTAGGTCAAAATGCTGAATGTCAGGTACTTATTCAAAAAACGATATATCTATTGATTGGCAGACTCTTAAACTACATGTACTTTTGACCATGCCTTACCGCAAATCTACATGCAAGTGTAAAAAGTCAAAATTACACAATTTTGAAGATTATTTAAAGGGACAATGTATAAGGTCTAAACCATCTTTAACCTACTTATTTCTCAATAAGAAAGACTGTGTTTAAATCTCAAAGGCCTACCACACTTCTTTTTAAATAGTGAACTTAGTACCCCTTCCTAAAATTTGCATCTTTAGGTACTATAAAGTGAAAATGCATAGAATGGATGAAATCATTTTCTAGTGACAAGCCATGTGAAGCAAAAAAAAAAAAAAAAATCTTATAGGGCATATTTTTTTGTGTTTGGGGTGATCAGAAAGAACTCTGTTGAGGAAGTCGTGAATCTTTTTTCATTGCATTCTACCTTGAGTGCACTGTATTGCATCTTTTTGGTTTTATTTCATTTATTCATCTTTTCATTCATTTATTTATTTTAGCATGCTTCTGTGTGCAAGTGTGTGTGTGTGTATGTGTATGATAAAAAAAAAACAAAAAAACATGGCATATTGTCCTTATTAGTACGGGTCAAGATATCACACCTGTGTGATATGACCACAAGAACACCACAGTTGCCCTGGTTACCTGTTTTATATCACTGGGCTTGCATTCTTTTCTGATCAAAACAAGTAAGGCATTTATACTGCTTGAGTGATTCTCGCAAATCCAAATGCCACTTGAAATGACTTCTTGGCAGACTTTTCTTACAGAAACTTGAAAACTCACTATTTTTACCATCTTTAAGCATTTCTAGGGTTGGTTAATATTAAAGAGATCACTTTGTTGGCAAACTCAAATGATAGTAATTTGTATGTGAAACAGCACTTTTAGACATTTTTATCAAAATTATTTTTCAACGTCTCTATCTATACTGATAGTTCAGTGTTAGTCTAAGTGGGTATTGTACAAAGTCCTTTTACGTATGTATGCTAGTGATCACATATATCATTATATCTAGTGACTCATACAGAGAGTTAGTGTGTTTAGGTTCAGAAGCCGACTTCCATTAAGAAGTACTGTTATGTATACAAGCCAATATGAATAAAATGTTGCTCCCCAATATCTCCACTCCCGCATCCTTGTTTCCTCTATTAGATAAAGGACTTGTAGGAATTGAGGTGAGATCCTTGGAAGATCTGGATCATTAGGGATTGTAAATAGGATGTAACATAACTTGCATTTCATGGTATTGATGGCCAAAATATGTATAAATGCCCCTTATAACACGATTCAGATTGGGAAAATTGGGCAATTATATAATCTATGAAAGCCCCAGTCCATTTAGCATAAAAAGAAAATACTTCTGAACCAACGAAGTACATTTCACAAGTAGATGATCTCATACTTCAAGGTATGTTTGCATCAGAAATGGTTCTTTTTTTTTTTTTTTTTTTTTTGTATACAACACATGCTACTATACTGATATGAGAGATGATGGTACACAAAATTAAAACATTATTTTCCAATCAAATGTCAAGTTTTGGAGCTGTTATTAGATTCAGATAATACTAACATCTGATCCTTGTGAAGAAAGCCAATGTGTCTATTTGTATACTTTAGCTACTATTATTTTAACTGAACTATATTAGACATGAATATTTATTTATAAATTACAATGATATGAAGAATATAATATCAAAATATGACAACATAAAAATATAAAACAAAATTATATAATATATGTAATAAGATAAAGTAAGTGTGCAATGACCCTGAATTACTTCTTAACCATATATTTATAGCTCATAAGCAAGATGATCTTTGGCCTCTTGTTTTCAGCCTTACAGGTTGGGTATTTACAAGCCTCATTCTACCATGTATTACAAACTTTGGAAGCTATATATATATCAACATTGGGTCAAAACTGTTTGTCCTCCATCACTCTTTGTACCATATAATTCGTATTTAATGTGCTTTTGTATTGGTTCGTATATTGATAATGATTTGTCCTTTTATTCTAGCTATGTTAGATGAATAAAACATCTTTACACTTAAACACGCCAGAGCTACCACTTATACAGGGCTTTACGTAAACCCTTCAGGATTGTAACACAGGGTGTGATGAGGCTTTTCCTGCGTAACATGTAAGGCTGATAACTGAAGGGTTCATCCATTTAAATCATTTTCACGGGTCTACAAACCCTATACTGGGGGGGGGGGGGGATTAATGTTCTCTGTGCACTTCTGAAATTGATGATCAAGGATCATCATTTTGCCTTTCACCCTGTACTCTCTGAGGGGGTAGGGGGTCTGGTATAAGTCTACTCTTTGTAGATTGTGAAAATGATGATAAAAATGGATGACCCCTAAGCAGACAAGAATGACTGTCCCGTCTGCTTGTGATTGGTCAGGCGTCTACTTGAAGTTTATTACCCTTTATCATACAGTAATCTGTTGTGGCAGCGTTCTGTTATAATTGTCATTCCAAGATATATGAATCAAACAAATGGTTTAACGAAATGAAGATAATGAATGAATGAAGGAAAAATAAATGTTATGACATAAATGATAAAAGTATCTGCAAGAATCATTGCGGAATAGCAAAATTTATTATTTGACCTATCTCTAAAATTGAAATCTTTCACCTACCATGACAACAGCAAGGTTTGTTCCAATCAACCAGTAATTAATCAAAGAACCAGCTACAGTCTTTTTTCGAAGATAATAATTTGCTTTTTGACAGCAGTAGCCCAGCCTGAACCAAAACACCTTTTTCACATGACATAAGGCGCATGTCTAACCGGAAGCAGCAATTCCGTCCGGGATTTTCCGTGTGTCTTCGGGCATCATCGCTTATCAGAAATCTCCTTGTGGGAAGGGTAGGATGGCCTTTTGTTTGAATGAATATTATATACGCACGTGGTGCGCGCCGGGTCAATTTATATGTGGAAGTGCTTGTCAGACAGTATAAAAGGGAACACCTGAAGCAGTTTGCCGCGGTGACTACATTTGGCTCTCGTGCAGGTAAACTACCCAATCAAGGTACAGCTCGTGCGGTTACCATGGTTATGTTACGTCGGAGTATAAAAGCTCGACACAAGGCCGTTGAATCAGACGCAGTTTGTGAAGAAGATTCGTTGCGCATCGTCTTCGCAATTCTACGGGCGACTTCTGCTAATTCCCTCAAATTTGGTGAATTGGACTGATTTAACAAAATGGTTAGTATTTCATCTTATTATCCTGTGTTAAGTCACTAACATTTCATTCATGATATTTATGGCAAAAGCTGTTTGGTTGAATTATTAAATAAATCTTGAACGTTTAGGTATAGAAAACTTATTGAATTTAAAAATGTAAGGACGAATATAACTCTTTTAACAATTTATATTTGCTTTGAGAAAACTGATATGTCATTTTACACACTTCTAAAATAAAAAAAAAAATGTTTTGACTGATTGACACCAAAATTTTTACGTGGTATTAAAGAGACATTTGTTAGTTTATCAAATGATAGGCATTGGAGTTTGATGAAGACTATCTGCTTACTACACCTATATCAGTTGTTGGCCGCAAGGTCGAATGTAAATGTTATTTGGAGCGTCTGCTGTTATTCTGTATTCAGGTCACGCATCTGTTGCAACTTCCAGAGTTAATCTGCTTACTAATGAGAAAAGTTCTGCAGAGAACATCGTTAAATCTAAATCCTGTGAACAGCTATAGAAGAAAATGGCATATATATCTATAGTTTATTGGTCATACATATTTTGTCAGTAATAAAATTTTGTTGTACAACAGCTTTTCTGAAACCATGGTAAAAGCAATCAATTCTTACCAAGTAAATAACTATTCAAGTGGCATACATAAAAAGAGTGGTCATTTACTATTGATTTAATCACCAATTTAAACATCAGCAAGTTAAGTTTCAAAGTTTATCACAACTCCTTAAGATTTAAGGGTCAGAGTTTATCAGTATTGATTGGGCTTTTTAAAACTGACAGAAACTCTGTTTTCATTTACATATATATACAGTAGTAGCAAGAATTTGTGTTGTTTTGGTCGTAATGGTAAACTGAAAGTTGTACTTTTAATGAGCATTTTGTAGAAGTTCAAAGAGTTTACTACACCCTGATACCTTCAGCTCTGGTGGCCTCTTTGATAGCATATTAGTATGACATTATATGTTGACAGTGCTTGGCAATTTTATGTGCCTTTAGATAAAAGTATCTTTTCTCCCATTTGTTGATTGTCATGAGCACAGATTAGAACTATCTAAACAAGCAGTATTGTACTTTTGGTTTGTTGTATAAAAATGAAATTACTGCATTATTTTTTTTTTTTCAGTTTTCTGTAATTTATTTATTTTGTCTACTGTAATACAATTCTGAATAGCAATGTTCAAAACCCAATGACCTGATATAAGAATTATTTAGCTGTTTATTGAGGTAGTAGGAAGTGACTGCTATTGTACGTGTATAAGTGTATTAATATTTATTTTATCATCATTATCGTTCTCCTTTATTTTTCCCCCTAGCGTGAGTGTATTTCTATCCATGTTGGACAAGCTGGAGTGCAGATTGGCAATGCTTGCTGGGAGCTTTATTGCCTAGAACATGGGATCCAGCCTGATGGCCAGATGCCAAGTGACAAGACCATTGGCGGTGGTGATGATTCCTTCAACACCTTTTTCAGTGAAACTGGAGCAGGAAAGCATGTGCCCAGAGCTGTTTTTGTTGATTTGGAACCCACTGTAGTAGGTATGTCAGCTGATTAAAGGATTTATAAATATATATTATTATATATAGTCTAAATAGCGTTACAACAGTAACAGCAATTTGGCATCAGCAGGAAAAAGCTAGTAAATTAGTGTCCAATTAACTAAAAATCACCTGCTGATTCAGATAATCTTGATTCTTGTTGTATAAGTTTATTTAATGTGATTTAAACTAATTGATCATTGGAAATAATAGGATTATTCTAATCTGAATTAATTTGGCTTTAGATGAGGTCCGCACAGGCACATACCGTCAGCTCTTCCATCCTGAGCAACTGATTACAGGCAAAGAAGATGCAGCTAACAACTATGCACGTGGACATTACACAATTGGCAAAGAAATTGTTGACCTTGTGCTGGACAGGATTCGCAAACTTGTATGTTTATGAAAATGCATTTAGAATATTTGTCTTACCTTATTGCTTTGATTATGAATAACTTTAAAAATAATTGTAATATATTGCACAGTTTCCAGGAGTCAGTTTATCACAGCAGGCATAGTTATAGATTTTCCTAGTAAATTAAGTTTCTGATTGAAACAGAATGAAGGCTTAATCAGTCCAATTATTTTTCAGGCTGATCAATGTACTGGTTTGCAAGGCTTCCTCATCTTCCACAGCTTCGGTGGCGGCACTGGCTCTGGATTTGCATCTTTGTTGATGGAAAGACTGTCAGTGGACTATGGGAAGAAATCCAAACTGGAGTTTGCAATATACCCAGCTCCTCAGGTTTGTTTCATAAAATTGTGTCCCAAGATCTTGTTTTACTGACAAATTTAAAAATTTAATTTCTAAAAACTTGGTTGAAAAATACAAATAAAATCCTTTTTTACAGGTGTCCACTGCAGTGGTTGAGCCATACAACTCTATCCTGACCACCCATACCACTCTGGAGCACTCTGACTGTGCATTCATGGTTGACAATGAGGCCATCTACGATATCTGCCGTCGTAATTTGGATATAGAGAGACCAACCTACACCAACTTGAACAGGTTGATAGGCCAAATTGTCAGTTCCATCACTGCCTCTCTTCGCTTTGACGGTGCCTTGAACGTGGACTTGACCGAGTTCCAGACCAACTTGGTGCCCTACCCACGTATCCACTTCCCCCTGGTAACCTATGCTCCAGTTATCTCTGCAGAGAAGGCTTACCATGAGCAACTGTCCGTTGCTGAGATTACCAACGCTTGCTTCGAGCCAGCCAACCAGATGGTGAAGTGTGATCCCCGTCACGGCAAGTACATGGCCTGCTGCATGCTGTACCGCGGCGATGTTGTGCCCAAAGATGTCAACGCTGCCATTGCTACCATCAAGACCAAGCGTACCATCCAATTTGTGGACTGGTGCCCAACTGGCTTCAAGGTCGGCATCAACTACCAGCCACCCACCGTCGTTCCAGGTGGCGATCTTGCCAAGGTCCAGCGTGCCGTCTGCATGCTGAGCAACACCACCGCCATCGCCGAGGCCTGGGCCCGCTTGGATCACAAGTTCGACTTGATGTACGCCAAGCGTGCTTTCGTCCACTGGTACGTCGGAGAGGGAATGGAAGAAGGCGAGTTCTCAGAGGCCCGTGAAGATCTGGCTGCCTTGGAGAAGGATTATGAGGAGGTCGGTGTGGATTCAGTGGAAGGCGAGGGAGAAGAGGAGGGTGGTGACGAGTATTAAGTCGCCCCATTACTCAACTTTCCAAGAACTATGCATGATTATGAACTAAGACCTTGAGAACGATTTAAAAATCACACTAGCAATAAAACCAGTTTTTGAAAATGCATAAGGAAAGTGAAAGTTGATCTGCACTTTGAGAAAAATAAAGCTTTAAAATTTCATTTTTGTGTTGCGTCTTAAATTGCAGAGAAATTACAATAATTTATATTAGATGTTGGTAATTTTTTTCCCCAAAATTGAGGTGAAGAAAATTAACACGGAATGAGTTGCGACTCCACGGCCGTTCTATGAAATTGCACTAGGTGCTTATTAAGCAAATGTAAATGTATTGTGACTTGTAAACTGCCACTTGATTTTGCTTTGAAAAAACCGAAAATTAAATGAGAACAATAATTTATTTAAATGTTTTCTTGTGGCAAAGCTGTTATGCTTAAAGTGATAATAACTCTTCGTTTCGGCCAAAAAATGAATTTTCCTGGAGTAAACAACAATTTTCCCATACTTACCAATGGTTAATCATTCAAAGTTAGTCCCTGTTTTTTTTCTAAAAAGTTTGGTTTTTTGTTAAAATCTCTTAAGAGATTTTAACAGAGTATAGCCATCAATGGAGGTCACGTGGTCTAAAGACAAGCTCAGATATCAGAATAATAGCTATAACAGCCGTTTTTGTGGGAAAACAGAATATATTATATTTTTATGAGTCACTCACAATGTTTTTATTGTGAAATACAGATTTCATACGAAGAGTTATTATCCCTTTAAGCGACACTTCGCGGCATATAGATGCCCGGGGTTCCTGTCGATGTGAGTACTACAAAGTGAATTGCTTTTTTATGTAAAAAACGAGACCCAGCTGTAAGAACTAAAGATTGCAATATTTCATTCACTTACATTTCATACATGCTGTGCAACCTCAACTTTATCGTTAACTTTATCGAAAGAGAATCTTTCACTGATCAAAACTACCATGGCCTATATGAGCCTACGCGTGCGTCTTTTAGATGCCCCTTTACATTTGAAACTCAAAAATCCACAGGAGACGAACGCGACATGGGTCGTGTCAATCTCGCATCCATTCTCGCATTTATTTAAATTCTAGTTTTTACACATGCTACATTTTAAACATTTTAATCTAGTTCCATCAAATAGCTGCTCTTATTAAGCATCATAACAACGAACCCTGAGGTCCGGTGACAAACTTTTACTAAAAACACTCAAATTACGTCGAAAAACATACGGTGGCATTGTCTCGATGTGATGATGGTTTGGTACATCTAATGCAATGAGATAGTCGTACCTGGGTGTTTTATCACACAGCAGAGAATGTCGAGAGGTAGCAATGGTATACGGAAATCCACGCTTCCGCTGTAAATCTTTTTTTCCCCCGACTTCCAGCAAACTATTTTGGTTTACATTATTTAACAGTAAATTTTTATCAACGTCTGGCAGCGTAGAAAGTATGTCCCTAGAGGCATAAAATCGTAAACGTTTAAGACGAAGGCTACTTTCCATTTGCTGGACAAGCAAGAAATGCTTGTATGTTTTGGTCATCGAACAATGTTAAAAAAGTGTGTTTTATTCACCTTGTTTTTTATGTTTGTCTCAATCTTTGTGCCCTTAATTTCAAAGCACCATTCTTATTTTCTGGGCTCAACTAGTATACTGTATTCGAGCTATGAATTGATTATTTTCAATTTATTCTGCCGTCAAAGCCATTCCCTGCTGTAACATATCGGACAGTTTTCTCATATGTTTTTCCATTGGCTCGTTAAGTGGGGAGGTGGTGTCTGAATGCACCACTTGGCAAATTTTCTTGTGTCCCTTCTTCCACGCTTCTTTCTGACACTTTTGCGAACAATACCAAGCTCTTTTGCATTTACTGCATTTCGGAAAATCCTTCGAATCTTCAGCCTTGGTTCCACAGTTAGTACACACGTTGGCATTCTCGCCTTCAAATTGACATCTGGGGCACTGACACCAAAAGTTGTACGCCCGAAACAGCCAGGCTCTGCGCTCCGACTTCGGCAACTGCGTATCTATGTATGTGGTGAAGATCTCTGTTCCTTGTTTAGCTCCCTTCTTCGCACGTATAACGAGCCCAGGACGTCCGTTTTCGTCGTTTGCGTCCATCACTTCCACGCTATTGTCGCAGGAGTGGTTGAAACAGGCGTGGACGGGGAACAACCCTCCAAATATGGCCTCTTTGGGGATTCCCCGATCATTCAAATAAGGCTTGATGTAGTCTTGGGTAGGGTCCTGAGATATACCCTGCATAAAGCGAATATACGGGGAATTGCCATCTGAAAATGACTGGCAATTGCAGGCTACCTGGTAGAACCGTCCTTCGAATTCGGTGTCGTCTATGTGGTAGTTAATGCCGTCGTCGAAGTTGTTGAATATACGGTCCATTAATTGCACCATATTTGACGCCCACTGTGCATGCCCGGTTATTCCGTAAGAAATAAACCGACGGAAAGGCGCTTTCGCTGCAGCCCACTGCTCGACGGTCGGGCCCTCGGTGGATTCTTTCTTGACCAGGCGACGGACTTCAGCGATAACTGCACCCCAGATTCGCGCCAACGCCATCGGACTAAAAGCAGCGCTCCAGTAGCCTTTTGTGCAAAGCTCTCTTTTATCGCAGAAGTCGTATAGTTCTCCTGCAGCCTTGTTGATGGAAGGGCAGAGAACTTGGTGGTGTTGATACCAAGCGTCAGCCAGACATGCTTGGCTGCAGTAGGTTTCCCGTTTACAACGTTTGCACTGGACAGGATTTAACTGCAAAAGAAGTATTGAGAATATAAAACTTAGACTCCGATTTATCCCCTCCGCCCTGGCACATAAAATGTCATCGGTCAAAAATACAGAGGGTTAAAAATATTTTGCCAAAGAAACAAGCTGTTAACGAATTAACAAAATGTTCTAAAGCACATTCTTGGATAATTTATTTCAAGAAAGCAAAATGCATCCGCTTCAAGTTACTTCTGAAGTTATGCACGGCCAATATGAATTTATTGCCTTTTATTATAATTTTGAATGGTTTTAATAGAACTGTTCACAGTTTTATTACCTTCGGCCAATATCTTTCTATTAAATCCTCGGCGACCGGGTTTATATCCAGCATAAGATGACCGAAGAAAGTCTCCGCCGTCAGCAAGGAGCGTCCGCAATGACTGCAGGCGGGAACATCCAGCGTGTACATAGTTTGCGCGGATGTAAGAGGAGATTCACTCCAAATTAACTGCCCAGGTTCGATGTTCTCTTTGGCAAGAACTGCTCTACCGTATTCTGAGAAGGTCACCTGAAGTGAAAAGAAATTCAAAGAATCTAAAGAGACGATAACACGGGTTTTTTATTCCATTAAGAATACGCAAACGACATTCTGGGCATCTCAAATTATTTGGCAAATATTCGCTTTCAGACGCGTATGGATAACTTTATATTGTGTCGACTTATTAACCTATATTTGTACCGACTAGATATTCAATTTATCATGGACATAATGAGAGAAGGCCTTCTCTCATTATGTCCATGAATTTATAAAACAAATTTTACACTTTTGTCAATTTTTCTAGTCATATCTGTAGGATACGGACAGTAAATATAGTAGCAGGGTGTTAGGTCCTCACAGTAGAACGCGAACGCCATTTTAATGAGCGCCGAAATTCAATGAAAAGACTACGCACTACATCCCTGTTGAACAGCACACTAAACACCCAAACCCAATATAGAGGTGCAATTGATGTCACAAGCATGTTATTAAAAATATTTACTGCACAGATTGCTAACTGTGTTTGATTATTTTAGGGTCCCACATGAAGAAGCTTGTATAAAAGTTTCACTCTCCTGGAACCATGAATAATTAAAAATAATTCATCGTTTAACCCCAAAAAGGAACATACGTTACTGTCACAAATACAAAACGTCCAACTGTGAAACGTTCTACTCACTTTGAAAATTCAGTCATCACTGGTTTTGTGCATTGATTTATCTCCTACAAGTATAACGTTGCTAAAAATTATAATAATCTTCTGTATAGACCAGTTAATTGTTTTTGAGCGACGTAAGTTTGCTTGTCACAGAATATTGAAAAATGGGGAAAATTCGCCCTACCGACAGTAAAATAAGCATTGAATAAACATGTTTCCCTTCATGATCCAAAGATTATATCAGAAATGTCAAACTATCATGGAACCACAATATATTGTTCGGTCAGCAAAAGAAAACATTGTATCTCTTGCACACAAGTACTTGAACAAAATGAAACATTTTGACAATTTTTCTAGGGAACATACGTTACCTAGTATAAGCCATGACGCAAAGCCCTTTGAGATACAGTTTAAATATTTATAAAAACGTCCTTACGTCATGTCTAATTAACCATGACTTAACCACTAAAAAACATATCGGAACGCGGCATAAAAACGAAAAATAAGTGGCAAGAACATACGTTACCGTACGTTTTTTGGAACATACGTTACCAAATAGTGCTCTTTGCTTAATGTTAAAGATATGGTAAAAATTAAAAATTGAATTTCAGTTGAGACAGTCGTGGATTTTTGTTCTATATACATACATGTTTTGAAATATTGAATACAATTTTGAATTCATTCATTTTTATTTTTTGACACTTCAACATGTGAAATGCACCTCTATATTGGGTTTGGGTGTAAAACGACAACTGAAACTGCAAACACCAGAAAGGTTGTCACGTTTGAACTACATGGGATCAGTGAGCGAAACTTGAGTGGATGAGAGGATAAATGAAGAAATAGATGTACGAGTTGAAGATGGGATAATTTAATAGATAATTGGATGAATGAATTAATGAAAAAAAATATAAAAGGAAGAATAAGTGAATGAATAAAACGGTGAATATGTGAATGATAGACTGAATGGAGGACGGAAGAAATGAAAGGCTGGATGGGTGGAAGGATGAATGACAAATGTCTGGAATTTATTTTTAACTTTCACTTACCTCTATTGGGTGATTTACAGTGAGTGGATCGTAAAGGCGCTTAACCCGCACCTGTTGGAAAAGCATAGAAGCCTCTCTGTCTTGCCCCTGACTTGCCTGGGTTGCTTTACGGAGCCAGAATTCGGCCATCACTGGCAGGCCTAGTTCTTGCAGTATTTTGCCTTGAAAGTTAAGGAAAATGGTATTAACTAATGTGCACAAGTGGTTTGGTGGTTCAAAGAATATTTCTTAACATCGGCTTCATTCTCAATGTGTCACTGGTGGCACGAGGAGGTCAGAGATCGTTTCGTTTACTAGTATTTTTCAGATGTTTCTCTGGCTATTCATTAGTTGTGCACATAGCTGTTGTGTCTGACGCAAACTTCTTCATGACCCAGTTGGCCTCTGTTAGATTTCTTGGAGAACGAATTTTGGTTCACTCTAACAATGGTGAGAGTGGGTCAAAATTTATTCTCCATGCGATAGCCAGCCAGGTGCAATGCAGGCAAAAGTACTTACGCCTTGCAAAAGTATACAGTATATTACTGACCTCCCAATTTCCATACCTGTGGCGTGTTGTGCTTTTGTTTGGCCATCAGGCAGTCTCTGTAGGCAAGGCTGTATTGTCCCAGCGCCAGGTGGCACTCTGATCTCAGCTGCCAGCAATCCGCGCCCAACTGGAGAGCAGCTAAAAGAGAAAACGATAGAAGGTTTACATCATACTACGGTTTTTCATTAGTCTATTGTACATGTATCAACATTCAATCATAATTGAATAACATCATGTGACATGACTGAATATTATTTAACACAATAAGACGTGAAAAAAATCGAAAGTTGAGGCTGGCACACTAAGAGGTGATTTGATTTCGTTCGACATAAAAGAAATTAAAAAGATATATTTTGAATGTTTTAAAAGCTGACATTG